ATACACACACCCACGCACACACACGACACACATGCACACACACACGCATGACACACACACACGCGCATGACATAAACGCACGCACACACACGACACACGCACACACACACGCATGACACACGCACACACACACACGACATACACCCACGGCGCACACACACGCATGACACACACACGCGCGCATGACATACACGCACGCACACACACACGCATGACATACACGCACACACGCATGACATAAACGCACGCACACACAAACGACACACGCACACACACACGCATGACACGCGCACACACACACGACATACACCCACGCGCACACACACGCATGACACACACACACGCGCATGACATACACGCACGCACACACGCATGACACATGCACACACACACGACACACGCATGACATACACGCACACACGCATGACACACACACACGCGCATGACATAAACGCACGCACACACAAACGACACACGCACACACACACGCATGACACACGCACACACACACACACGACATACACCCACGCGCACACACACGCATGACACACACACGCGCATGACATAAACGCACGCACACACACACGCATGACACACGCACACACACGACATACACACACCCACGCGCACACACACGCGCATGACATAAACGCACGCACACACACGACATACACACACCCACGCACACACACGACACACATGCACACACACACGCATGACACACACACACGCGCATGACATAAACGCACGCACACACACGACACACGCACACACACACACGCATGACACGCACACACGCATGACACACACACACGCGCATGACATAAACGCACGCACACACAAACGACACACGCACACACACACGCATGACACACGCACACACACACACGACATAAACACACCCACGCGCACACACACGCATGACACACACACACGCGCATGACATAAACGCACGCACACACACACGCACACACACACGCATGACACGCACACACACACACGCACACACACACATGACACACATGCACACACACACACACACGCATGACACGCACACACACGCATGACTCGCTTAACACACATTAGGCCAATTCAGTCGCACAGAAAATGCCACGAACACGTTTGTTGTGTTTTGTGTGATCAGTGTGTTACACAGTTGGTCAGAGTGTGTTTTCACCCGACGGAACACGTTCACTCAGTGTTTGTTGGTGTGTGTGTGTGTGTGAACATGACTGTTATTTATCATGCAATTCTAAATCCAACGGCCAGCTTGTTTGTTGGTGTTTGTGTGAATTGGCCTTAACACGCATGACACACTTGCACGTCACACACACACACACGACACACTTGCACATGTCACACACACACACACACACACACACACACACACACACACGCATGACACACTTGCACGTCACACACACACACACGACACACTTGCACATGTCACACACACACACACACGCATGACACACGTCGCGCACATGTATGACACACGCATGACACACTTGCACGTCACACACACGCGCGCATGACACACTTGCACGTCACACACACACACGCATGACACACTTGCACGTCACACACACACACGCATGACACACGTCGCGCACATGTATGACACACTTGCACGTCACACACACGCGCGCATGACACACTTGCACGTCACACACACACGACACACTTGCACATGTCACACACACACACACACGCATGACACACGTCGCGCACATGTATGACACACTTGCACGTCACACACACACACACGACACACTTGCACATGTCACACACACACACACACACGCATGACACACGTCGCGCACATGTATGACACACGCATGACACACTTGCACGTCACACACACACACGCATGACACACTTGCATGTCACACACACACACGCATGACACACTTGCACGTCACACACACGCGCGCATGACACACTTGCACGTCACACACACACACGCATGACACACTTGCACGTCACACACACGCGCGCATGACACACTTGCACGTCACACACACACACACACACGACACACTTGCACGTCACACACACACACGCATGACACACTTGCACGTCACACACACGCGCGCATGACACACTTGCACGTCACACACACACACACGACACACTTGCACATGTCACACACACACACGCATGACACACGTCGCGCACATGTATGACACACGCATGACACACTTGCACGTCACACACACACACATGACACACTTGCACATGTCACACACACACACACGCATGACACACGTCGCGCACATGTATGACACACGCATGACACACTTGCACGTCACACAAACACGCATGACACACTAGACACACTAGTACACGATGGGGTGGTGATGGCACAGTGGATAAGACACATGCCTTTGGTGTGAGAGACCCGGGTTCGAATCCACTGCGAGACACCAATGTGTCCCTGAGCAAGACACTTAACCCCTAGTTGCTCCAGAGGCGTGTGACCTCTGACATATGTATAGCAATTGTAAGTCGCTTTGGATAAAAGCGTCAGCTAATTGAATAAATGTAAATGTAAATGTACACGTCTCACACACACATACTAGAGGATGGATACCCGAACCGAGCCTGACGGTACCCGTTCGGGTCGGGCTCGGTCACGTCGGCGCAATAAGGCATTGAACATTTGAAATTTAAAACAGCTTATTATAATGTTTAACTGGATGCAAATGTTTGTTTTTGTGATTAAAATAAATTTAAAATATCACCCTAACATCAAACTTCATGTGTGCGGAAATTTGTTTATGTTGCTGTGACAACGCGCAACATGTGCGTGCATAATATTGCATATTTGGCTACATGTGGCTGGCAGCGCAACCATGGAAGACGTTAAAAAGAACTTGGCCTCAGGAGATTTTAAAACCAGCCTAAACATTGAAGGATGGATTATGTGAATAGATCCCATGTTAGTTTTATTAGCCACACAGTTTTCGAGGAAAAATGGTAAGAGTGATTTTAATTTCAATAAGCTGCATTTGTGTTACGTTAATGTTTTGTTCTGTTAGCTTTGGCAATTTTTGGTAGACCTAGCTTTGTTCATTTAATTTCAATTGGCTATTTGTCTCTACACCACAGGGGGCCTCTTGTGCGCGCCTGTGTTAACATGCGCTTTGTTGGCCGTGTGCGGCGCACGCTGATGGGTTGCGCACATCTGTAAACATTTCCGAATGCCTTCCAGTTGCTAAATAAAAGCGCGCTTTCTACACAAACAAACGTACGTGTCATTAGTATGAGAGAAAAAAAAAGATTTTTAACTGTTGGACGCGGGCCGGGCTCGGACAGAAAAATGCGGCCCGATCCGCACTCTAACACACACGCATGACGCACACATGTACAACACGCATGACACACTATCACACGTCACACACACACACACACACGCATGACACACTAGCACACGTCACACACACACACGCATGACACACTAGCACACGTCACACACACACACACACACACACACACACACACACACGCATGACACACTAGCACACGTCACACACACACGCATGACACACTATCACACGTCACACACACACACACACGCATGACACACTAGCACACGTCACACACACACACGCATGACACACTAGCACACGTCACACACACACGCATGACACACTAGCACACGACACACACGCGCATGACACACTAGCACACGACACACACACACGCATGACACACTATCACACGTCACACACACACGCATGACACACTATCACACGTCACACACACACACACACACGCATGACACACTAGCACACGTCACACACACACACACACACACACACACACGCATGACACACTAGCACACGTCATACACACGCATGACACACTATCACACGTCACACACACACACACACACACACACACGCATGACACACTAGCACACGTCACACACACACACACGCATGACACACTAGCACACGTCACACACACACGCATGACACACTAGCACACGACACACACGCGCATGACACACTAGCACACGACACACACACACGCATGACATGCACATGTACGACACACGCATGACACTAGCACACGACACACACACGCGCATGACACACTAGCACACGTCACACACACACATGACACACTAGCACACGACACACACACACGCATGACGTGCACATGTATGACACACGCATGACACTAGCACACGACACACACACGCGCATGACACACTAGCACACGTCACACACACACGCATGACACACTATCACACGTCACACACACACGCATGACGTGCACATGTACGACACACGCATGACACTAGCACACGACACACACACGCGCATGACACACTAGCACACGTCACACACACGCATGACACACTAGCACACGTCACACACGCATGACACACTAGCACACGTCACACACACACACGCATGACACACTAGCACACGTCACACACACACGCATGACACACTAGCACACGACACACACGCGCATGACACACTAGCACACGACACACACACACGCATGACATGCACATGTACGACACACGCATGACACTAGCACACGACACACACACGCGCATGACACACTAGCACACGTCACACACACGCATGACACACTAGCACACGACACACACACACGCATGACGTGCACATGTATGACATGCATGACACTAGCACACGACACACACACGCGCATGACACACTAGCACACGACACACACACACGCATGACGTGCACATGTACGACACACACTTGCACACACACACACACGCATGACGCACACACGCATAACACGCACATGTACGACACACACCTATGACACTTGCACACGTCACGCACGCATGACACACTTGCACACGTCTCACACACACACACTCACTCCTCCGTGTGTTCCTCCTCTCACGTCACTGATCACGAGAGTGCGTCAGCTCAACAGTCTCAGTCCTCAGCAGAAGAGTGTGCCACAGCAGCAGGTGTGTGTGTGTGTGTGTGTGTGTGTGTGTGTCACAGGTGCAGCTCCTCGGCTCTGATGTGCTGGAGCTTCTCCCTCATCATGAGGAACGAGGGCCGTCCTGCAGGGTCCAGGCTCCAGCTCTGCTTCATCAGCTCGTACACCGCAGCAGGACAGCTGTCGGGAGCCTCCATCTTATAGCCCTTCTCCACCCGCGGCACCACCTCCCTCAGCGGCTGCGGACACAGGGGTCAAGAGGTCAAGGTCACGCTCATTTATATAGCACCTGAGAGGGCTCATCGGATGCAAAATTCACTTTTACATAGTGTTTGCATATATAATTCAACTTAAAAGGTGAAACTAATATATTATATAGACTCATTACATGCAAAGTGAGATATTTCAAGCCTTTATTTGTTATAATTGTGATGATTATGGCTTACAGCTTATGAAAACCCCAAATTCAAAATCTCAGAAAATTTGAATATTACATGAAATCAATAAAAAAAGTATTTTAATACAGAAATGTCGGCCCTCTGAAAAGAATAATCATGCATATGTATATATAGTTATATATACTAAATATATTAGTTTCACCTTTTAAGTTGAATTACTGAAATACATGAACTTTTGCATGATACTCTAATTTTTCGAGTTTCACCTGGACATGTGTCTGCAGGGTGTGGACACACGCAATATTGTAATGCATTACTTTTAAAAGTGTCTTTCCCCAACACTGGTTATAATAGTCCAGCCTGGTTGAGATGAATAAATGGGAAGAGTTGATTTGTTTGTCAAATTTGAACTCCGGATCAAGGATAACTCTTACTTTATCCCGCATGCTATCTTGAGCAGGGCCGTGCACAGACATTTTGAAGGGCAGTGGCTTAAACCAAAAAAGGGGGCACTATAAGGAGTTTGACTGACAACATACACGATGGTATTTATTTGTAGGAATTAATTAATCCTTATTAAAGCTATTAAAGAGCAGTGAATGATTTTCTCTTTTTATTTTGTTGTTTGATTAATATTAAGTGCACAGACGGCATTAGGTTTATTACGCACTGTCACTTTAAGACCGAGTGTGCAGATCCAATTGCACTGATGCACATTCGATATTCTCACAACTGTACGTTCTGTAAAGACATAACTGACTGCGTTTAAGTGAATACTCTCCAAAACGGACATTTAGACATAATGTTGTGTGTATTTGTCCATTCAGACGCGAAAGAGAGCTCAGTGCAGTCCTTGCGCGCTGCTCTGTCTATGTGCAGGGCTGCACGCGTCGGGTTGTGTGTGTGTGTGTGTGTGTGTGTGTGTGCACGCACAGAAAAAAATACAGAATAAAGGCCATCATTGCACACTGCGTTTTTCGTATTCGTGATTCGTTCGCTCTGATTTGTCAAAACACCATTCAAACACCATTCAAACTGCTGGCTACGGTTCGATTAGATTTTTACCCGATTAGATTTTTTTTATGACGGACGAAAGTTTCGGAGGCAGTGTGCAAGTGTGATTGACATAACGTGAGGTCGTATTTATTTTTTAACGTGCGAAAATTCTTGAGCGATAACATAACGTTTTTTATGGAAATCCTCTGGAGGGTTAGGGAGGGGGCGAGAGGGGCACCTCAGCTGATGAGGGCAGAAGGGCAGTGGCTCTAGCCACCGGGCCACCCCCCTGTGCACGGCCCTGGTCTTGAGGCCCAGGGTAATGACTTACACTATTTAAAAGCTCTAAAGGGCCAAACAACATAACTTCAGACTTCTTCTGATTTAGTTGAAGGAAACTGTTGTCCATCCACGTCTTAATGTCCTCTAAAGACGCTAGCGAAGACGACACTGAATCAGTATCTGATTTTAGAGGAAAATAAAGCTTAGTATCATCGGCATAAAAGTGATATGAAACTTTATGGGACTCAAAAATAAGACTCAGAGTGAGTAAATAGAGGAAAATAAGGTTGGGCCCAGAATAGAGCCCTGGGGAACGCCACGAGTGACGGGAACTGAGCTCGAGGAACTCTATTAGTGAGATATGATGAAAACCAGTCTAAGACAGAAACACACACACCGCCCTCTGCTGGACACACACTGAACCGCAGGACAGAGACACACACACACACACACACACACACACACACACCGCCATCTGCTGGACACACACTGAACCGCACAACAGAGACACACACACACACACACACACACACACACACACACCGCCCTCTGCTGTACACACACAGAACCACACGACAGAGACACACACACACACACCGCCATCTGCTGGACACACACTGAACCGCACGACAGAGACACACACACACACACACACACACACACACACCGCCCTCTGCTGGACACACACTGAACCGCACGACAGAGACACACACACACCGCCCTCTGCTGGACACACACTGAACCGCACGACAGAGAGACACACACACACACCGCCATCTGCTGGACACACACTGAACCGCACGACAGAGACACACACACACACCGCCCTCTGCTGGACACACACTGAACCGCACGACAGAGAGACACACACACACACCGC